CTTTCGTAGCTTTTGGGTCATAACGGTTGTAACCTGTTTTGAACATTCCAATCATTGTTCCTCGCCTTCTGCGGTATTCAAGTGACGGTTAATCTAGTTTTATAACCTTTCATTGTTGCTTAGTGTCTGCAGCCCTTGTACCATTCGTGTCGCTCGTCGTTGCAAAATTTCGATTAAACTTGTGTTCTTCTTTAATCGCGGGTACCAGACTTGATTACAGAACTCCAAATGAGGCCTTATGAGGCCTTTATACACATTTAAAAATACAGGTATGGTCATTTTAATGAATGTTTTCTTAAAAAATGCAATGATAGAGTTTGCTTTTTTAACTTTTGCAAAGATATGAGAGTCAAAGGAGAGTTTACTATCGATGATCACTCCAAGGTCTTTTTCTTCTCTTACTGATTCGAGCTGTTTATCGTAAAGTTAATATGATCTTGTTTCACGATTTGATCCTCCAATTAACATTATCATATGTACACATTTATCTTCATTGAAATCCCACTCAGAACATCTTTCCATTCAGATCTACTGTCGTTTATCACAACTCGTTGTCGTCGTGTTAATGAAAAATTGTTGATCCAGCCCAGTGTTTTTCCTTTTATTGCATTTTGTTTTAGGATTCTTATCAGTCTTTTGTGCGGAACCGAGTTGAATGCATTCTTGAACTCCAAGTAGATAACATCCGTTTCTCGGCGACTATCTATTGTTTTTGTGAAATCATCCAGCACTCTCAGTAGTTGTAATTGTGATGATCTACCGGGCAGAAAACCAAACTGTTCATATACAGAGATTTCATTTTTTTTCTAGATGTTTTTTAATATGTGCTCTAATTATTTCGGTCAAATAGTTTACAAACTATTGTGTTAAGCTTACTGGACGATAGTTGTCAGCTAACGAATTTTTTCCTTTTTGAAGATAGAGGCTATGTGAGCAAGTTTCCAGTCTTCAGGTAGCATCATTTTGTCCCAAGATTTGTTAAATTTTTTGTTAGAACATGAGTCAGGAAATCTCTTAATTCGAACAGAAGTTTCGGGTGAATTTCTTTGGGCACTGGAGATTTCGATATTTTGAGTGAGTCTAGTTGCTCTTTCACCAATTGCTCTGTTATTTCTAAGTCCTTTATTGAATGGGTGATATCCAATTCTGGAACCTTTCATTCTCCTGGTGGTTCGTGTGTGAAGACTGATGTAAAAATATTGACAAAACTTCAACTTTTGCGATCTCATTGTTCGTTAAAGATCCATCATCCTGCACTAAAGCTTGTTTTTCATTTTGTAACACGGTTTTCTGTCTCACATAGCTTGAAGTTTTTTTTTGGTTTCATTTTTACATCTTTAGCTATTTCACTTTCCTTTGCCCTTTGATCATTTCGAGTAGCTGTCTTAACAGCATTTCTTTTTTATTTATAGTTGTCAACATTTTTACTTTTGTGTTATTGCAGCAAAACTTTTTCCAGCATTATTTTTGCTCTGGTTGCCTGTCGAGTTGTATTGGTGAATATTAAGATGTTTCTTCACTCTGGATTGAGCCTAGTTAATGGTACGAACTTTTTTGTTTGTTCAATCAGGAGTTCGCGCAATTCCGTCCAAAGTTTTTCAACATTGTCTTCACTGTGAAGAAACGACAAATTTTTTTTACTTCATCTCTCATTGGGTCGTAGTCTCCTTTAGCGAAGTTGTGTCTAATCATGGTCTTACTAATTTTGCGGTGCGCGGGTAACTCCACTTCTATCCCAGAGGTGGTTGGATAATAGTGTTTAGGTCGCTTAGACCGGCATCAGTTAAAACTATATCTATTAGTGATGGTTTATCTCCGGCAGTAATGCGATTTGGTTCATCGATGTGTTGGGTTAGAATTGTATCCCTATCTGCTTATAGAAATTTGAATTCTTTGCTCTCCTCGTCCTTGGTTGTACTGCAATCATCCCAGTTGATTGATGGAAAGTTTGTGTCGCCCAAGATTACAGTATATTCCTTCACATATTTTTCGCATAGTACTTTGATTGATTGGCAAAGGCAATCGTTGTTCCTTTCTGTTGAATTTGGGCTAAGTTAGACAACTGCCAAGCGAATAAATTTTTGATCAATAGCAATGTCACATATCAACATTTCTTGTAAATTGTTCGGGTTTTGTCTAATGCAGTAGTCTATATCTTTAATTACGAAAAAAAAAATTCCACGCCCGCAGTCGTGTGGATTCATGTTTAATGACTCAATTTTATAGTTGTTAATTTTGTACAAATCTGGATTCCACTCGGTTTTATAATTTTTCGGTTTTGCTTCTACGAGAGCAATTACATCTGGTGGGTTCTTTTTATCTTCAATTAATATGATCAATTCCTGATGTTTCTTTTGTGTTAGAGTATCAATATTTGTGTACCAGAAGTTTAACTTTCTAGCCTTGCGTTCTTCCTGACTTTTAGTATCTGCGTTCCTCGAACCAGATATACATAGTTTCCTTCTTCCTGACCGTTCAAGTTTTTTGCTTTCGTAACTAGGTTTCGCACTTCTTCTCTTTTTTTTAAACTCCGATCCGGGCTAATTCTGAGATTTCTGATTTCTGCAGTAGCTTCTTTCAACTTTGGTGACTTTCGATTTATTTCAATAACATCAGTATTCAAGGAAACCAGCAATGGTCTGTTTATATCCTCATCGGTTTTCCGACCGATTCGGATCGTTTTCACCATTTGTTAATCCTCCATTTCGATACTTGATAAAAAAAATTTCAACTATTTTCTCATCTTCTTTTGTCCTTGATTAACTGTCAGTAGCTGCACTCTACTTGGCTTTGTAGATCACAATATTCTTTTTTCTTCGGTTTTCTTCAGCTTCTCTCTTTTGTTCTTCTGTTGCTTCTAAGATGATCTCTTTCAAAGGTTTCTTTTTCCGATTCATAATTTCTTTCCAGACCTGTCTGTTCATCAGAGATGATCCTGCTGTGAAATTATAGAGATCATTCATCATGTTTTTCATGTTATCCATAATTGTGTCGAGATCTGCTCTTAAATTTTTGGTCGAATCGTCGGTTCCACTTTCCTGTTTTTCGCTGATAAGTTGTTTCACAGATGGACAGCAAGCTGTGCAACACCAGGTTACAGTAGTTTGGCACATGTCCTGATAGGCTGCATCAGGCAATTTAAGGCATTTTGCAGAGTATTGTTCACGGCAATGCTCACACTCCGTGACTTTGTCTAGGGGGTTTCCATTTATTTCCTTGCAAATTTTGCATTCCCAAGGCTCAACGGAATCAATAACTGATGTTGTGCCTTAATGGCGAGTTTTGGGGGGCGTTGTTGATGACCTCACTTTCTACTGGCTTTGCCGCTGCAAGATAACGAAACCTCAGAAGCTACAAAGCAAGAAAAAAAATGAAGTTTCTTAGAATCACTTCCCTCCTACTTCGCCGCTCCATGATAATTAAACCTCAGAAGCTACGAAAGCAAGAAAGAAATGAGTTATCTTGACCACGTTAATTAAAACAATTCTATCAGCTCACTCCGCCGCTCCAAGATAATTAAACATCAAAAGCTGCAGAGCAAGTTTAAAGAAAAGCGACATATTTTACCTGGGTATTTTTTTGCTTCTTGTTCTTTGGTTGCCTTTTTGATTTTCGTTTTCTTGTTTTCGAGCTTTTCTTCAAGACTAGTTTACAAAGATTTCACTTGTTTCGTAAAACAGTCTGCAGGAGTTGTAGTTCCAGTACAGAAGAGGGATGAACTTTTTGTATCTCGTCTAGTCCTAAACTTCCTTTATTCTTCCTTTTTGATATCAAGTGTTTGCGAACGTTGATTATCGTAAGGTTCTCGGTTTTTAACTCTAATTGTCGGTCAAAAATCCCTGTACTTCCTCTTCGACGGACGTACAAAATTGCACTGATTCGATGTTTGAATGGCTCGATTATTTCGAGGAGTTCTTCAGCTGTGCACGGTTCGTCGTAGTTGCTATGATGAGAGTTGATGGTATTACTAATAACGTCGTGCCAGATGAAAAGATTGCTTTTATTCCTCCGTGATCCTCTTACAAGCAGCTTTTGCAGAATCTTCAGGGGGTTTCTGTTATTTGGGTGGAATCCTAGCCCACCGATAGTAAAGTTTTTTCCTGCGAGTCGTTTTTGAATGGGGTGTTTCACAACTTTGATTGCTCGAGCTAATGATGAAGCTCCGATAAAAAATACCTTCGATTGAGGGATAAATCTTCACCCGCTCTAAGCTAGAGGCGGGGGATTTTGGACAAATTATCGTATTCGTAAATTTAATTAATCAATTGTTCATGCCTCTAACACAAATCATCTGAAAACAAACGGTTTGAACAAAGGAAAAGGACATCTAATTAATAAGTTAATCACAACAATTAAGCGTAACTATTGTTTCAATAAATACGTAATATTCTTAGATACTCATGAACTTAAATATTATTCATTTGCAGTAAAAAAAACAGCAAAGTTTGACGCGTTTCGATTTATTCATCATCAGAAACTGAAATACAAAATACAAAAGATGGAAAAAATCTTCCAAACTGTAAATACTTTGACTTCTAGTTGTACAGAGTGTGGTCTGTGTTTAGACAACCGCGTATTCATACTCGTCAGTAAGCAGACAAATACTCTATTTACCAATCATAATCGAGACAAAGAAGAAAAGAAAATTTTCGCCTATTTTTCTGCTACCGTCTAGGTTTTGCCCGTTAACTCAGCTTAAACTCGATAAATATCACTAAACGCGTTTTTTATCCCCAAATTAATACGAAACGAAACCAAAAAGAAATCGGTATCGAGTGCTTTTTCTGTTCAACAAACTCACAGCGTTTACCTGGTACAGTTGGCTACAAAAGTTTAAAAAAACTCATTTAGATATACTGAAGTTAATTAGAAGTTTTTTTGTGCAGCTTTTTGACATTTTCTCTTGATTTTATTTGTTCTTAAGTGATTTGGTGCACTTATATAACGCTGTTTGTTTCTTTTAAAATCAAGTTTCCATGGCGATTTTGTTTTTCAGTGTTTGTATGAAAGATCAACATGTAAATACTCGATGACGGTTGTTGAAGCTATGGAAGAATCTATTAATGACGGTCAGTTTTTACCACAACCTTTTCAATTATGTGGTTTTTTGGTTCTCTGTTAATTTATTTCGCCTTTAGACGATTTGTTGATGGCTGATACCACGAGTGTCGAAGACATGGACATTGCCCCTCCTCATGCATCCAGCCACGATAATAATTACTCTAGCATAGCGTCCTCCTCAAATTCAGTACCAACAGACCGTAATTGGTATTTTTCTCAGGTCAAAGGCTCAGCAGATCCACAAGTCACTGATGGTGAGTTTTAAGTTTTATAAATTGCGAAAATTGCCCGACTTATTCACAGAAAATAGCGCAACTTTCACGAAATTCAGAACGTCGTGCTTCCTATGTTATTTTTGAAAATGGTTTTTTCCTATGTTATTTTTGTCCACATGTTCAGAAATACTTAAAGTAGCCAAGAGAAGAGAGCAGTGAGAAAAGATTGGCAATCGTTTATGGTTATCATAACTGCTGTAGAATAGGATGAAAAAATTCTAAAAAACTACGTGAAAAGCAAAACAAAGTGCTTAAATGCCATTTGACTTGTTTTAGCTGATATAATATCAACAGTAGAGTTCAATCAAACGGGAGAGCTGCTTGCCACTGGTGACAAAGGTGGTAGAATTGTAATCTTTCACCAAGCCCCCGTAAGAAAATTTCCACAACTTTTTAAAATTATATCCATAATATCCTAACGTTAACCGAGTGTTCTTTTTTTGCTATTCAAATAGGAAGTGCCTGCAAAGTACGGTGAATATGCAGTTTATAGTACGTTTCAAAGCCACGAACCAGAATTCGATTACCTGAAGAGCTTAGAAATAGAAGAGAAAATCAACAAAATCAAATGGCTTCCACAACAGAATTCCTCACATTATCTCCTCTCTACAAATGGTTTGTGTTATTAGTCATGACTGCTACAGAATTTATTCATTTATTAACCGAAATTTTGGTTTTCCAGATAAAACTATCAAACTGTGGAAAATTCAGAGAAAGAACAGGAAGACGACGGGGTACAATTTGAAAGACGAAGAAGGAAACCCTAAACCTTTTAATTCTAATTTAGTTGTAAGTAACATTCATTCAGTAATAGTATCATTTTTGCTTCAAGCATCGGATGGGGAGGAGCTGTGACATAGGCTATGTTTTTTTTCCGACGCAATCTCAGATAATTCAAGAAGTGTTGTATCAGATCGAGTATGGTCAAAAATGGTTTGGATCTTGGTTTTTCATACTAATTGACCGCGTGGAAATGGACGAGAAGAGTCCAATCTGATTTTACCATTGCTTTTTCCTAATCCTAGCAATCTCGACCTAAAATTTGAGGGTTGTTTATTCGCCCTCTTGTCACTCAAGATCACTCTATCGCTGTAAGTATTCTAAAAAACAGTCTCTTATTACTTTTGATAGTTTTGCAAATTTATGCATTGTAATTTAGTAAGTCTTTAAATTTTTAAATTGTTGAAATTTGGATGCGTTGATTGTAAATTGTTGTGTTAGGTTCCCTCATACGAACAGACAGAACTAATGATAGAAGCTAGTCCTCGGAGGATCTTCTCCAACGCACACACGTATCACATCAACTCAATATCCCTCAACAGCGACCACGAGACCTTCATCAGTGCAGATGACCTGCGCATCAATTTATGGAACCTCTCTATCACCGACCAGAGTTTCAACATCGTCGACATTAAGCCGGCTAACATGGAGGAGCTGAGTGAGGTGATAACAGCCGCAGAGTTCCACCCCCACCACTGCAATATATTCGCCTACAGCAGCAGTCGCGGAAACGTCAAGCTGTGTGACATGCGACAACAGGCCCTCTGCGACTCATACGCCAAATGTTCGTCATTTACTCTAAATTTTGAAACAATTCACGCCTAATTAGATATGAAATAATAATTAAAAGAGGAACATGTCAATTTGAAATAAGTGTTGCATGCTAATTTGGTAGTTGGACGACCCGGCATGTTAATTCTGCCTGAAAAACTACATCTTGTGTGCAAAGCCTTTTGATTTAAGCTATTATGTTATTTTTATCGAATCGGAATATTGATTTTTTTCTTCAATTAAACTCACTTGAATCTCTGGTAACAGCAGGTGCACTATTTTAGCGTGCTGAGATGTTCAGAAAACTGTAAAAACTTCAATGAAAATTTTGGTTGCTGTTCAGTACTTATGCTATCGTTCCGACCATTTGGAACTTTGTATTCGGGTGTGTTTTAGTCTTTTTCTTGTTATTTTCCAAGGAAAATCAAATAAGAAAAATAATTATTGGAATGGGTCGAGTGATGTATCATAGTAAAACCCTGACAGTCGTTATTCGAACGACATACAAAAAAAATCATAAAATTCTTCCCAAGTTGAGAAAAACCGGTTTAAAATTTTTGTTTTAGCCCAACTTCGAGCGAGTAAAGCGATCGTGTAACGTTCGTTATAAATAAAATATGGCCGTTTAGAGCAAACTTGATGTTACTAAAAAAACTGTTTTGGAAGCTTCATTAAGCGCTTTCTGGGCGATAAAATTTTTATACAATTTCTTTTTGAGTTTTCAGATTTTTTTCGGTTGTTTCTTATGAAGACAATTGTAGTATTTTATCCTGAATTTTTTAAAACTTTCTACGGTTTTGTATAGTTCTATAATCACACCACGCAGAAGAAACGACGCTAGTTTGATGATAAAAATATTTGTTTGTATTTTTTTTACGATTCTGGTCGGAACATTCTGAGCTACTTGCCCAGCAACGGGCTATTGCAGTTTTTTCTCGGAAAAATTCAATATTCGTTCTATTATGCATGTGACTAAATTGTATAGTTTCGTATAGTTCTATAATCACACCACGCAGAAGAAACGACGCTAGTTTGATGATAAAAATATTTGTTTGTATTTTTTTACGATTCTGGTCGGAACATTCTGAGCTACTTGCCCAGCAACAGGCTATTGCAGTTTTTTCTCGGAAAAATTCAATATTCGTTCTATTATGCATGTGCCTAATTTGTTTCTGCTTTGTTTCGACAGCATGAATTTTGTGGTTTTTTTTTCTATTAAAAGGTTTCTTCGGGGTACATAGTTTCGGCCGATGTCATATTGCGTCATTTAGCGGGCGGTTGTAGAACCTCCGAGTTATTGCTAATTGGAGGCTTATTTATACTTTTTCTTATTTCACTTGATAAAACTGTATTTTGGTCGTGTTCTCGCAAGTGTTTGCGAAGCGCAGCTTCGCCTCTGCCTAACCGATTTTAACAGAGAAACTAGGATATATCTGAACATTTTTCAGAACCTCAAGAGCTAAAAAAATTTATTTGACCATTTTTTTGGTGTGTACTAGAAATTTGCCTTAGAAAGCTTCGAAACTAGCTTTATATTGCCTAAAAAACTATTTTACCTGCGATAGCAAGCGTTTTGCAACCGGGTACTAGACTTTTTTCCCGTTAAGAACTTTGTTCACAGGTTTTAGCATGCATGCAGTGCACGACATATGCATGCATTATGCCGGTCCTTTTTTCGCTCATTGGTCTTTTAATCACACTGCAACTGCATTCTTACCCTTGCGTTAAGCAATGGTATTGCAATCGGACACTATACTTTTTTCCGGTTAACAACTTTGTCCACAGGACTCATCGACTCTTGGTGGTACCTTGGTTCATAACGAATTGAAATTTCTTACTGTCTCCTACACTTAGCCTGGAGGTAATGAATGCACCTGGGAAGGCAAAGGTCCTGGGTTCGAATCTGACCAGGAACTTTTTTTTCAAACGGTAAAAATTCCGGTTAAAAAAATTTCGGCCTATTATTTGTCTGCTTACGTTTTGCCGGCTTAGTTGCCAGATCTAAGAATCGTTTTTTTTTGGTGCAAACAAGTCATACTTTATTTGCTTAGTGTCTGAAACTTTTAAGAATCCGGCCGAATTGAAATTTGCTTTCTACATTGGTTGTTATTATGTTACCTCGATTTGTTATAATTTCTTTTTTTTTCTTGAATTTTTTGCCTTCTTTCTACTTTGACGGCCGAGAAAAGTTTTGTGTGCGTGTGTGTTTGAGAGGAAGCGGTTTTTGAGGGGAAGCGGTTGCATAATTTGACGGCCGAGAAAAGTTTTGTGTGCGTGTGTGTTTGAGGGGAAGCAGGACTCAAAAATTTTTTGAAAAGATTTTATTGAATTTTTTTCGACATGAAGGGTTTCTGCTGAGGTTTTCTGTAATTTTTTTTACTGCTTGGTTAGTTTTGTCCGATGCTAATTTTGCTCTCTTTTGGCTCGGCATGTTTTTTTTCAAAACTATCTTCTCATTTTAATAGATTGGTTGTATGTATACTTATAACAGATCGATATCAACTGATGATCACTTTGTTGCTGATGATTTTTCGGCTTTCGTTTTAAGCTCTCAGTTTAGCTTTAGAGTTCTATACCATGTTCATTTCAGTACCTGTATGGTTTTCGTGGACGCCATTTGGACAGTACATGAATATTTTCTAATGAAATTTTGCCGAACAATTTTGGTTGATTTTTACCTAATTGGCTGTCGGCTTATTTACATAGTATTTTGTTTCCTACAAATTTCCGATTTTATTTACGAGATCATTAAGACGTTGGCCCAAAATTTAGGTTTTGGAATGCTCAAGTTCAACCCGAGTTGGAACTCTTTAAAAAATTCATTTGTTTCTAATTGTTTCTTCTACGCTGACAACTTTCCAAGTCCTTTTTGATAGTTCTTGAGTGTCTTGCTGTTGTAATCCCTTGTGTGGTGCAAAGCTCAGATTCCCCTCTGTGTTAATAGTGTTTTTCCGATAAATTTGCAGTATAGAATTTTTTAAGGAAGTTTTTTTGGTAATTTTGATTTTTCGACTTCGTCAATTTCAGTTTATCTTTTGTCGGCTTAGTTTTAGCTTTTTTATAAGCCAACTGCATTGCTTATTTGAATGATGCTTATGAAGGCGAGAATGCTAAATTCTCTATCAAACTTATATTTTTTCTAAAATTTGATCGAATTTCCCAGCGAAATAAGGTTTTTATCTTTTGATCAAGTTTTCTCAAATTGGGTTAAAGCAATCAAAAAAATGTCAGACACAAATTGTTCTAGAATTTCAAAAAGCTTAAAAGTCATCTGTTTTTTTTAGTCAACTTCGACTTAGATTTTTTCATAAAGCAAGTTCACATTTTTGAAAGCAATTCCACATATGGTTGAGAAAAATTAAGTATTTTCATCAGAATTTTTTTTTGAATTTATTTTTCAGTTTTTTGGATCATGTTTTCTAATTTTTTTAATACTAAAAATGTGTGGAATTAGTTTCATTCATTTTAGTTTGTTCCAGTTTTCTCAAATTTATGTGATCCAGTTTTCTCAAATTGATTTTTTTTATCGAAAAACGGTCAATTGTGATTTGCTCTAGAAGTTCAATAGCTATCTATTGTGATCTTCAAAACGCGAAAGTTGAGATTTTCTCAAAAAACGAAATTTTAAATTTTTTTTACTTGTGTCCATTGACTCTTTAACAACTGGCTGTTTGCTATGTTTCATTTTTTGACATCCTGTGTTTTTATGTTTGTATTGTTTCGCAAGTGGTGCGGAGCTCCACTTCACCTCAGTGTTTGATATTTTTAAACTGTTTTTGCAAAGACGTGCTAAGTTATTAGAGTAAAAAAGTCAAGTTAAAGGCTAAATTGAAAGCGCTAACTGTTAAAACGCCTACTCGCTCGCTTTAATTTTCGTAGTTAGGTTAAAAAGCTGATTTTGCGTGAGAAAAAGTAAAAAAAAAACTAAAACACCCAAAGATGTAGTTCCTCCTTTCATATTTTTAGTTGTCGGAACAATCAGAAAAACAGTCTTCACCTTGTTAGAGTAAACTTGTTGAAGTAAGAGTCCTATCGAGCTATGGGAACTTCAAAGATGGCATGCTGTTTTTTTTTCCAGAATTTCTCACAAATACCTTGATTATGCTCTAAAAAACTCACGTTGGAAGACAATGAGTTTAAAATCGGAATTTTACTCCTGCTAATTGGAAGTTTGTGTCGAAGTTGCTTCTGTATTTTTGAATATGAGTGTATGCGGAGCAGGGTACAGTGAGATGGGTTCTTTGACTAGATTGCCTTTGTGAAAATGATACTTGAGGTTTGTGTTATTTAGTGTTTGAGCAGCAGGAGGATGACGCGGAGAGGAGCCAGAACTTTTTCAGTGAGATCTGCTCCTCCCTCAGTGACGTCAGATTCAGCCACAGTGGACGCTACATGCTCACCAGGGACTACCTCACTGTCAAGGTCAGACACCAAATCAATTTTTGAATCAAATTTTCCATTGATCATCTTGGTGTTTTGAACTTGAATGACGATCATGCCACTTGTCATCGTCTCGAAACTGTGTTTACGTCATTTGAGATAGCATAACAATTTATTCTGTTTAAGAGCGTATGAACTTCATGAAGAGACTAATATAGATCGTATTGATTAAATGCTCAAATTTGACTTTTGTTTTCCTTTCAGCAAAAAGTTTTGTTTTTTTTTCTGAAAGGAAGTCAACTTATGCTGTCAACATGACTTTTCGATAAAAAATAGTTTGAAACGTTTTTATGAAGAATAATCAACGTAGTGAGTACTATTATATAGGTCTTGGTTTTTTTTGAGGAAAGAGTCTTGAAATTTGTTTACGCTCAATTTTGATTTTCCGCGGTTTGATTTTTTAAAGTTCAATGCATTTCTTTTGTTAAAAGAAGGCAAACTCCACTATCGAACAGCAAAATTGTTAAGGTCACAAAAAACGTGATCGACTTCTAATTTCGAAAATGGAAATTAATTATCAGATTTCCCAGCGAAATAAAAGTTCTACATATTGATCTAGTTTTCTCAAATTGAGTTAATTTTAACAAAAAAATGACCATCATAAATTGTTCTACAAATTCAAAGAGCTTTACGGCCATCTATTTTTTTCTTCGAAATTCATAATTTAAGATTTTTGAAAAAACAATTCCGTTTTTGTTCAGTTTCTTTGCGTTCATTAGTTTTCTACTGTTATTTGGCTATGTTATCCAACTGTTAGTTGGCTATGTTTGTCATTTAAAAAAAATGTGTTTTCATAAAAATAGGTGTGGGATTTGAACATGGAGAGTGGACCGATTGCGTGCTACCAAGTGCACCCCTCTCTCAGGCACAAACTGTGCTGGCTGTACGAGAACGACTCCATCTTCGACAAGTTCGAGTGCTCCTGGAGCCACGACGACAGGTACTCCCCTCCCCCAGTCCACATACTGTACATGTATCACCCATCCCTTTCAATTACAAATCTAACTTGTACTTGTCGCTCAATAGTTCCCAATTTTGTTTGAACCGGCGTAAAGCCGAATCCTCTGCTTCAGACAAGTGAATGTTGCAATCATCGTAATAAAAATGAAAAAAATATATGCTGAAGTTTCAATGAAGCAAGAGGTAATCAATACTTAAATTTTGAAAATAAGTGAAATTTGATTGATTAAACTAGCTAGCCGTTCCAGTCTAAAAATTATTTTTGTTAAAAGTTTTCGAGCGATAAGGTAGAATTATCAGAAATATGCAATTAAACAGACTTTTACAACTGAAAATAGATGTTACAAACCTCGACACCATCAGACGATTGTGAGTGAAGTTTCATTTTTTCAAGAATATGTGATCTGATAGCTTTAAGGTATTCATACCCTCACGTTTCGTTTCATCAGTGGGTTCTAACTGTTGTTTTTATTTCAGGCACATAATAACTGGTTCTTATCAAAACAGATTCCGAATATTCAACTTAGAAAATCAGACAGATTACACGTTCGAAGCTAGCCGGGAATTGTATCCTACAACTATGGGAAGGCAGAAACTCACACCACTGGACGACATAGAATCAGGTAAATTCGACACTGTTAAGAAACAGATTCACAGCGCCTGGCATCCACAGCACGATGTGATAGCACTGGCTGCCAGTGACAATCTCTACCTCTTCGCCGGCCTAGAACCGGAGCCAGCTCTGCCGGACGAACACTCGCGAGACGACACGACTCACATCTCGATCTCCGACAACTCGATTGTCCGGTCGGAAACAGTGACCTCAATAAACAGCACCATGACCGAACACAAATTTAGCCTGTACTCTGGTTCGCCTACGTCCAATCACAGTGGTGACGGCGATGGCGCTGCAATTGCTGCGGTGCCTCAGGAGAACAACAACAGCATTATAGCAACTGAAGATGGTTCCGGAGACCACCAGATTTGAAAAGACGCCCACTTGTTTTGTCGGCGGTAGAGATTTCGTGGGGAAAAAATGAACGGAACAGGGAAGACGTGATCAATTTTACGTGTAGCTTCAAAAATACAGGAATAAAAGAAACGGAGTGAAGTATGTCATCAAATGGAACTTGAATCGTGGAAGCGAACATTTTTTTGCTTAGAATCTATTTTTTTGGCTCTGAAATTGAAATCAAGCGATTTAAAATATTGAACAGAGCTAAAATATTCCCTTGATAAAAGAAAGGGAGTTTTTATTAATACTTCTCGCAGGGAAAATTTTAGATCACAGCCCAGACCAGGCAGCTGTAGCTGCTCTTTCTTTACCCGAAAGTGTTCTTAGGAAATTGCCGATATTTGGAAGGCGGAAGACTTTAAGTATATTTTTAAATTGCTACAGCATTGGTACGTTTATACTTATACCATCATTTAGTCGTTTTCTTTCAGTTTTCATTCATTTTTCTATTTCCATCTTTCTTTTCGCCATTTCACAAAATTGTTAATTCAAATCAAATTGAACGACGCTAAGTTAATTCACCATAATAATTCCAGATCCCAAAACCCTCGTCATGATGCTTATCAAACGTGTGCGTACTGTTCTACTTGTACTTGAAAAATAATGTTAGTCGAACAGCAGCTGTTACTAAAACTAGAAAATATGTTAAACACTCAGCCCACTCATCGCCAATAATCTGCAGCGAAGGTGCTTTTACCTGTGATTGCCATTGTTGTTTTAATTATTCAGAAGAAACAAATAAATATTTTTTTGCCAACTTGTTTGACCAAATGGTAGTAGGTACATGGTATCAATTTTAGCTAGAGGTGAAGTCATGTCTTATTCGGATAATCATAGTTTCTGATGCTAATTGTTCGATTTGTTTTTGCCGCATTCTTGAATGCTCCTCAGGCGAAACATGCAGTAGATTTTGCCACCCACACGATGAGTAATGAATTCTCGTTTTAATTTATAGAACCTGCTTAACTTATATGAAGTTTGATTCGATTTATCATATTTTCTTATTACAGTATTTTTAACATTACTTTCTAGCCACATCTTTTTAAACCCAATACAAGAGTAGAGAGAGTAGAGACAGATGAGCTGAAGTATCACAGCTTTGTCGGATCCATCTAAATAAATAGCTATAAATAGCACTTGGATAAACTGCAATATTTTATCCAAATACTTTCAGAGACTTTACTCCCACTTAATGCTAAAAACAGAGCTTATAATCTGCAGTAGAAAACATGTTAGAAAATATGAAAAAATACTTAATTACCCTAGACGTAAAATTTTTAGCTATAAATTGAAGCTAAAACAGCATGCTTGTTAAGTGTCGATAAATGAAGTGAAGATACTTGTATAGGTCGTGTTGATTTCTTTCGTTTTTCAGGAAAAGGCTTTATAAAATTAGCCTCTTTTCCACTCCACACCACGTTGCAAATTTTTCACTTTCATAATACCTACACTAGCGATTACAGATAACAGCGAAACCCGTCATTTTTCGTTATGAGGTACAAAAACAATGTGTTCAGAATGGTTTATTTCTCCACCAAGCAAATTTCATTACCGTATGACAACGTTAAAGTAGTTTTCGAAATTCGAATGTGGGGGAAATTGAAGAGCCAAATTCGATTGTCGTGGTTTGAGTTTAGCTGAGTTATGTTTAATTTGATAAGTCAAGTTGTTTTTGAATTCCCCTAGACGTAAAAATGATTCAAGAAAAAATAAGTATGAAATATCTCGGAGTAATTGTAGACCATTTTTTGACCTTTCAAGTTAAAATTATCTGAAGAAAAATGGCCTGTGGTATTTAAACACTACAGTCGATCAAAAAACCGCTACCTATCAAAGCAAGAATACTACTGATGAACGTTATCAGTTACCTACACTGCCCTGCAATACTACATTAAATTATCTTATCGATATCATTGGAAAAACAACTCAGCTGGACAATTAAAACGTGTGATCGTGCAAAATTTGATTCATCTGATCTTAAATTGAAACAGTTTTTCTTGACTAGAAAGTAATATGCCATGTCAGGAGAATTAGACACCGCTTACTCTAAGCTTTTAAAAATTCAATATAAAAGAATCACTTCAAGAACTCAACAATTTGTAACAGGTAACATGATGAAACAACCAATTTCAAAAATATCCTTACTTACAGGAAATCAGAAATATAGTTTCAAGTCAAAATAAGTGTTTAAATAATTAAAAAATAGACTGTTTTCGAGCGTCTGTTCATTTTAAGGGGTAACCCTCAGCTGTTTTATAAATACAAATTGCTCAGATTACAGCTTTTAACAAGATTAATCAAAATTTTTAAAAGTAAGTCTCTTTTTGAAATTTTTTAAAACAAAAATGAGACATGCACTCACTCTTCTCAAGTGATTACGTTCGCATTAAGTAAGTCGGAGTAAAAAATTTTTGGGCCCTTTCATTTCGGAATCCAAAATAATAGGAATCTAATCATGGCTAAACTAGCTCTACATGAACATGATTTTTGATACGATGAATATCCAGGATTCGAGCGCAGCCGGTACCTAAACCTTTGCAAATATAAGTTTTTCATGGCGTTTAGTTTTTGGACTGGAGTTTCTGTTCAGTTTTCAAGGGCGTATTTTAACGCAGTGCTGCTTTCCTAGAATAATGGAGTAAAATTTTGATGCAAAGAATGCATGCAATTGTTTTCCAACAATTGCAAAAAATAACCCACGGATGTTGCTGTACAAGTAGCACAAATTCATCTGACTAAATTAATAAAAATAAAAAAAATTTTTTTTTCAATTTGATGTTGTTTTCAAGAATAATTAAAGCAGTGAACACTCTTATACAGGTTTTTGTGATTTTTTTTATTCAAGAAAAATATTGGTTCACGCTCAAATTTGATTTTCGCGGTTTCACTTTTGGCTTCTTTTTGAGTGCAATTCATTTCTTTTTTTCGAAAAGAAGGCAAATTCAACTATCGATCAGCATAGGTGCAAAGTTAGCAAAAACGTGATCGGCTTCGAACTTCGAAAATAGAATTGAGTTATAAAAATTCCTAGCGGAAATTTTTTATCGTTTGATGCAATTTTCTCATTGTGTTACGTTTATCAATCATGGCTTGTTCAAAAAAGTCAAAGTTCTTTAAATATCTTTTTTCAACTTTTTTGTACTTTTTCTGTTTACTTGCATTCATTGACTGTTTTCCAACTGTTTGTTGGCTTTGTTTCATTTTTTTTACCTCTTATGTTTTTTGCTGTTTGTGTTGTATCGCGGTGTGACTTTCAATCTACTATATTACGCGATGTGTTTTTTCAGCTAATATTACCAATTTTCATATAACGAGCGTTAAGCAGTCGCTTTACACGCTCGAAGTTAGACTAAAACTCATAAATTTGAAATAAATTTTTTTCTCGATTCTGAAGCATTTTGTTTTTGAAAGTTTTCAATTGTTAGAAATACGGCAAAATAGGCTTCATTATGATATATCATTCGAACAATTTTTGATGCGTGATTTTGCGTGGAAAATAAAAATGAAAAAAAAACCCCGAATACGATGTTTTCCAGATTTTAAATGATCGGAACAAAAACGTTGTGTGATTTTGGAGTAAGTGATATTTCTTTTGCGCGAGCAAGTTTACATGTAATCGGAACTAGATTATTCTTCCATTAAACAAATTTTCAAGCAAATCTGTTCTCAATCTTTTCCTGGCCGATTCCGTTATTTTGAAGCAAAAAAATTTGCCGGGCTTTGTTTTTTTTGCACGAAATGAAAAAATTTTTTTGGGAAAAATTGAACTGCCGGGACATCGTTTGTCTGCTAATTGACGGTTTAATTGCAAAAGCATGGACTTTTGTTCTAATTTAAACAACTTTTGATGCAATTGAAGTTAGTATTGTAATTTGTAAATGGGCACATTGACTAATATTTCTTTGGCATGGATCGAATTTCTCGAAAAACGTTTTCTGATTTTTGTTTTGAAGTGATCGGATAATTTTTTGTTAAATGTCAGAAAAAAGTGGTCGTGTTTCTATGTTTTTCTTTGTAAAAGCTGAATAAATTTATGCAAATTCTGTTTTAAGTTACTTCACTCGGTCTTTCAAATAGTTTTTATAGGCATATAATGAAAAAAGTAAATATTATAGCCGGGGTTTGGGAAAATTGAAATTGTTTGCAGCAAGTCAGCTTTTAATGCTAAAAATTCCCGTTCATTGAAAGGTTTTGTTTAGCTGAAACCGCTTTTCTTAGTGTGTATCAAAAAAAGGTTATGTGGCTGGGTTGTCACAGTCTAGATTTGTACCGGTGAGTCTGACTTGCTGCAAATAATTAAATGACTCTTTCTGTTTTCTGTATTTTTTGAATTTCAGGTGTTGCAAACTTCAGGTTCGTTTCTGTGTCTTGGAAAACGATAACGGATTTTATACTTAGTCTGAGCCTCGTTGAAATTTGTGATAGCTTGATCAGAATCTGCTCGTATAAAAGTTGTCGAATAAGAAATACGATGTCTAAAACAATTAGTTTACATCTCCTGCTTAAAGAATGTTTTTTTTTTCATCTCAAACAAAAATTTCTATCTTCGAATCTGAGTGTTGCAAAATGTTAACACAAGCAACGATTTTGGTACATCACCGGTCCAATTATGTTCTATGTAACTCGCAAATTTCATTGCAATATTTCATGCGAATTGTTGCTCTACATATTTCTGCCCTACATCATAACCTAATGCAGAATGTGTTATATAATATCCGCTTAATTGAGAAGAGTTCATACGTGATGTTTAATATTAAAGCATGTTGTGTTTAAGTATGAAAATGTACGGAACTTTTTGGCTAATAAGGCGGCCCAGTGATTTTTGGGGGATTATATTTGTTTCTATTAGGAGAAGGCATGTAGTGAGATCAACTCACCCGCTTTTTCATAAATTCATTTTCAAGGCATATCATTTTCCTGGCGTTTTAGAGCTCCTTATTGCCGCAAGCTGCTTTTCTTTGTGAAGTATAGCTTCGTCTTTGTGCCTAATATTGTTAACCTCAAATTCAAAAGTAAGTTTGGATCAACCCGTACAATACCCGCTCTCCTCAATCGATTTAAGGGGGAAGAAAGTACAAATTTTCCAGGAAATAACTTTGAGTGTAGCCTAGATTTGTACAAAAGTACCAGCTTTATTAGAGAAAATTGATTGAAAATAGATTATCTAAATAAACAAGACTGCTCGTATCAGGGCGAAGCCCTGAATGTTCCGACTGCCTTTTAGGGTTTATGCAGCAGCAGTAATAACATAAAAAAATAAATTAAAATGAAATTTTTTTTTTCTAAAATTTGAAATTTTTAATGAAAATCATCCCCCCACACGCCATATAAAGTACAAAAAGAGAGATTTTGTTCATTGTAACAAATCAATTATGGCGAATAAGCTTCGTTCAGCCAATTTGGAACGATTTATAGGACGGATTAAATCTCCGCTTACGCGTTAATAGCGCGAATTATATCGCTCGTTCATTGTCCCAAATTGTTCAAAATGGCAATCTTTAAACCCTCATAACTTTACGAAAAATGATCACAGGTGAAATATCTTTTCAAATTTAAGCTCAGGACAACAATACCTTTTGAATGATATAAAACAAATTCCGTCAAAAATGGCTGGTCAAAAAGTCGAAATTTGTCTGAAGAAAAAAAAAAACCATCCCGAGCACAAATATTCCGTTACTTTTGTATCGAAAGTCGGAACAACAAGACTGCTCATATCAGGGCGAAGACCTGAATGTTCCGACTGCCTTTTAAGGTTTATGGTGCAGTAATAACATTTAAAAAATTCAAAAAAATGAAACAGAAGAATTTTTTTTCTTCAAAATGTGAAAAATTTTAAATGAAAATCATAACCCCACACGCCATATAAAGTACAAAAGGATAGATTTTGCTCCATGTAACAAACCAATTATGGCAAATAAGCTTCTTTTAACCAATTTGGAACAATTTCTAAGACGGATTAACTCTCTATACCAAAATGGCCAAAATGGCACTCTTTATACCTCCGTCACTTTAAGAACAATGATCACAGGTGAAAT